AAGAGCCTCGTCTCAAACAGTGTTAGACCAGAGGACGCCAAAAGGCGAACAGCACAAAGACAATGCCACTATGAGGACATTGAGAGCTCGGGGTGAGCAGCTACATCATATCCCATTAAATGCTTATTTTAATATTGTGTGTGTATAAGGTTGTTAGTATCTTAATGTATTAACATACATTGTTTCAATATTAGAAAGTACGTTTATGCGTGAAAGAGGGTAACTTCCTCTGCTGTCGGAACGAATTAAGCCTTTAACGTGCATCCCCTATACTCGCTTAACGACCAAATCACTTAACGAGCAGTTTCCTGGAGCCAATTAGCGTGGGTTAAGAGGGCTTCTATTGTACAGTCCACAGTTTGACTTGCACGGCTACTATCACACTACTGCGACCTCTCTTACAATTTGCATTCGTGAAGGAACCTGGCTGGACACCGTTCGGGACGTTATTATTTAGCCGGCCGCGCTGCGAGTGAGAGAAGCACACCCGGCTGAGGATATTGTGGAGGCTGTTAGCAGTCATTAATTACTTTGACACTTCGATACGGTGCGGACGTGCATTTCGATTGTTGGGCCACTCGCTTTTTTCATCACCCTCGACACGACCCGTTCCGCGAAAGCGCTTGTGTATATCTACATCGTGGGAATGTGTTTAATTGTTTAAAATTTTAATTAGATACATTTCTCCGGATGCTGAATTAATTTGACCTACATCATCGTAGTGCTGGAAGACACGCCTGCAAAATTGCAGGGTGTGGGGGGGGGGTTTGGCCAGTCCTATCGATTGAAATCTTGCGAAAACCGTGTTCGTTGTTAATAAATAACGGTGGCCAATTAAATTAGCCGCGTGGGGTTTTTTTCTTTCGTTTTGTTTGTTTGTTGATTGCTTGATAACTAACGGCTTTGAGTGCTGGTGGTGGCGATTAGTCGCCTATGAATATGACGAGTGACCGTGACAGGCGAGACGACCCGGCGTCAGGCAGGGATCGTCGTCATCACCACCTGTGTGTGTGTGTGAGATCGCCATTGTCACTAAGGGGCGGGGGGAGCGTTTGTGGTGTTGGTCAGTGAACGGGGATCAAAACGCGAGAGGGTGAGCCTCAGGGTGCCAATTGAGAACGCGCGCGTGCGTGTGTCTATATCTACGCCTATGACAGAGATGGAAACACACACACTCACTCATTGCAATATGCTAGAGAAAACGTGTTCGCGTGCGAGAGATTTGGTCTGTGTGTCAGAATGGTGTGTGTGTGAGAGAGAGATTGCTTGCGCGTTGTGTGTATATGTGTGTGTGAATGTGTGTGTAGAGTGGGGAGCGGTAGTGCAGCGGTTAGCGCGCTGCGCTACGAACCTGGCCACCCGGTTTTGATTCCCCCAGTGACGATTATCCCAACCGATCGTGGGCATCCCCTAGGCAGACTGAGCCTCAAATGAGTACCTGCTGCGGATGTGTAAACATCACCGCTGGGGAGACAAATGCGGCCGGGCGTGTGCCGTTCCAGCCTTCACAGCACTTGCCCCAACAGTCTGTTAAGGCTATCCGGGGGATCTTTGTCTTTGTGTGTGTGTGTGTAGGGAGAGAGGGGAGGTAGGGGGCAGAGCATGTGCTAATGCAAAGTTGTATCCATGGAGACGAGCCAGGCAGGACGCGAGCAACAGAGGGATGAGAAGACCCCGATGCTCATCCGAGCTGCTCCCAGATCTTCGGGCCCCCCCCCCGCCCCCCCAAATAACAACACGCAGCATTCATTGCGGAAAGGAGCTATCAAGGAAACACACAACGCACGCACGCACGCAGCCCAATCCATGCGCCGCATTTATCACGACCCGCACAACACAAATTGTAGGCTTTATTTTGATGTCCGCGTTTTCAATGGTAATGACATGTTGTTTGTTTTTTTGTTCGTGACAGTGTCCGACAATGATGTCGGACACATACATCCAGAATTGCGTGTTGTGTGCATCTAGAAACGTATAAACCGCACGCGATTTCACGGTAACGGGATAACGGAATAACCACACACGTGCACACAATGAAGAAATATCCGACACAGCGTGTCAAATGTATCTTTCATGTACAGCTTTAACCCGCGGTGTGGGGAATGTTTAGGAACTATAAAAAGCTCACATGGTGCGTATGTTAGCATTTGTGATGACCAGGCTCCATGTCGCATGCATGTCTGGTGAGCTTCATTCGCATCGTACGTAGCCAACGGTGCTAATCAGAGTTATGTCGTAATTCCATTCCCCTGGAATTGGCCGGATCTCCTTAAACATTAAAATTTGACCATGTGTAAATAAATACGATTAACAAACATATGTAAGGTATGCCATTTTTTAATCCTTTATATTAAGTTCACTTGCTTGCTTGCTTGCGCGCTTACGACCGTGCAAATCTTTTGGTCGTTTTTTAACCCACTTCTCGTGATCCAATCGAGCTGACATTTTGCACACAGACTCGTTGTGCGTGACAATTTCTTTTCGTGAAATTTTTTTCCAAAATGTTACATTTTTTAGGACAAAAATATTATATTTAATTACCAATTGCTTAATGGTGGCAGGCAATCATCTGACCCATAGGTGGCAGCCATCTCAAGCCAGAGGACGAGAGGACTCTAGCCGCCCGTTTCAAAGACCAATGTGGGCTGGGTTGTGGCCCATTGAACACGCATATAAAGGATTTATAGTGAAAAACTTTGTTTTTACGGGTTAATTTTTTGCTTATGCATATATGTTTGCATACATTGAATGTATATGTAATGCTTTGCTTAGGTATTTTAAATTGAACGTGCCTAATTTGGACTCAGCCGGATTTAAATTACGTGTATGTACCATATGTATGTCCTGCATGTATGTACACAGTGTGGCTCTACTTGCTGTATGTTATCAAATATCATTATTACGTTTGTTTACCAAGGATACTCTCACTAAGTCTACGTCTCTTTTTCAGCAGGGTCCTGCAAAGTTGTGGGGTATTTTGTTGTTGTTTTTGTTGTTGCATGTTGTGGGCAGTGAATACTTGGTTAATTTGCGGGCAAATGTCGAATTTGGAAAGGATGGACCCAGTCGCTGGCACGCAATGACGTTTAATGCCCACTTAAAGCAAACAGCGCGTATTCATGTTTTGTTTTGGTGTCCAGTATTCATACACGCGCAGTATTAACCAGGGGCGACCGCTGGGTCCGAACCGTGCACCTCTGCAACAGGTGGCGAACGCCTTAGCGCTCAACCACGTCACCGTCTCTCTACTCTGGCTGTCGCCTGATGATGCTGGCTGTAATTATCGACGAAACGTCACGGTACACTAATTGTAAATGCTGTGGTTTTACTCTCCAATTGTTTACGTGATAAATCTCACTAATTGGCTGCGTCAAGTGGTGTCGGGTTGAACGACGCATTTATATTTACGCGATCTAACCCCCCCAAAAAAATATAATCGATAATTTTGCTCGTAAAAGCCTTCTTGTTCATCTTGTTGATGTGTCTCGTTTGCAAGAGAATTGTGCAAATCCGACACAAACGTACAGCTCATCTTGTCAATCCACTGCTGAACAAAGTCCTCCCCACTGTGTCGACCAATGGGGGTTTTCGCCATACTTCACCACGCTGGGCAGTTGCAGTGTTGGTGGAAGGCAAGCACAGAAACCCGTTGAGATATCACTCAGCGCTGATGTGAGCCACAGCTGGGGATCGAACTCAGGTGGCAGGGCTCATAATGCAGTGTGCTAACCCGTGCACCACAGTTCATAATTTGCATGTACAGTGCGTACGTACAATAAACAAATTGTATCCTCTCATTACGTGTGAGTGGCTCTCTGTGTTTACGAGTTACGCACGTCTCAATGGATGCCCCTTGATTTAAAATACATGCAAGTATATGTATATAAATCTCCGTATACGCGTCTGTAGGCTTACTGCATATATTATGCAACTATGCGCATGCACAGTATATAAATTGCGTGTATTGATTTTGGTCTCCTGTTGAGGGTAGAGGCGGACACCAGTGTATGAAGAAAACGATGTTCGTGTGGGTAAAATGAGCCGTAACTAATTAACGTGGGCCCTCGAACAGATGGGAGCACACCAACGCCCATCACCGCCGCACACCAACACACACAAAAGAACACACCACCCCAAAACGATCCCAGGCCGCACGTGAAACCACACCAGACCGATAACGGCCGACACCGAACCACCCCAACCCCATAACAGACCACACGAAGCCTCAGTGGATCATAATCAAGCAACGCAACCAGACGACAGCACGCCACACTGAGCCACCACAAACCACACTGAGTGGTGCCATATCACACACAAAGAGACGGTCACTGCATCGCGCGCTTTCAGATGCGCTTCTGCGGCCGTCTGGAACGCTCTTCTTTTCCGATATTAGGAAGCCACTGGAGCTATGCACTTTGAAATCTAGATTGAAAACGAATTCATTTAGAACTCCGACTAACACAGTTGGCTACGTACGGTGCGAAAGAAGTTCAACATACGTACATATACACAATCCCATATCAGACTGCGCCACGCTATACTAAGCCACAGCCGATCAAATCAAACAACCCCAATCCAGACGACAGCACGCCACACAGAGCCACCAGAACCCAGACTGAGCAGAACCATATCACACAAACCCATATCAGGTTGCGCCATGTCCAGTTTGAGCCCCAATTGACAACATCAGCCCCCCACATCGGACCACACCAACCCCGTACCAGACCACACTAAGCCACAACGAAATCATATCAAACAACGCAACCCCAAAACCAGACGACAGCAGCCCGCCACACTAAGCCACCACGAGCCACCCGGAGCGGTCAAATATCACAGAGACCCATATCAGACTTGCGCCAGGCCACACCGAGGCACGACTGACGACATCAGCCCCCGACCACACGCAACACACAAGCACGAGCGGGGCGGCACCTCGCGAAGTGAGGATGACACTCGACCGCTCAGCGAGCGAAACGCTCCAGAAGCCGTGCGGTGGAGAGAGGAGGGCACGTCGCCTAGCTCTGCGTTGCGATGTAACGAGAGACCGTGGCGAAGAGAGTGAAGGGCGAATGGATGGAAGAGCCTAAGGCGAACGATGATTGTGATTGAACATTACACATGTATGTGATATCAGACTTTAACGCCAAGTGATCATGATGGTGGTGGTAATAATATAATGAGTCGTACGAGAGCCAGAGGGGAATTGTACAATTGTAGAGAGATACAGAGAAGCAATAAAGTTACGCGGACAATATTCGACGAACGTTAAGGGGACTCTGGCAATTAAGCTCGTAATAACAACAATGGAAAATATTTAATACGTATAGCTATAAAGGGCAATGATAATCTAAGCTGAAACCGACTAGCATATTATATTCAAACGAAGAGAAGCAATATTATAATGATGATGATGGTGAGGATTATTGAGAAGATGACGATGATTACGGGAATAATTAAATTATCAGAAGCAATATCAATAATCAATCCAAAGTACATTTCGTCGTTGAGTCGGATTTGAGCACGACAAACACAGCCGACAAAATTGCGAATATTCCTGCACAGCACCGCCGTGTGTCGCGGGTCACTCATTCATTCATCCCCGGCGCTCTTGCGCGTTCATTGAGCGGAGGGATCGCATGCACAGCCCAGTCGGAGACACCACGCGTGCAGACCCCGCTGGGCGGTAAGACGAGAGAGCTTTGAATAGAGAGAGAGAGAGAGCCACACACACACGCGCTGCGCAGTCTCGCTCGCATCACACTCACTCCACTCAGCCATCGCTCGCTCGCTCGCTCTGCATGGAGGTGGACGGGGCTCGTCTGGACGGTGGAGGATTCGTCTCGTGTCGTCTACTCGTTCGCTCGCCTCCTCGCAAAGCGCCCTGAATGTGGCTGGAGCTAACAAGGGAGAGTTAAATGATTTTTGGAGGCAAAGCATTCAGCTTCTGCGTCAAGGCAGAATTGCTCGCTGCGATCTGCAAACTGTGAGTGCCCCCACGCATTGATCACGATCATGATGAGGATTGAGATTATTCAGATCATAACGATGGCTTTGAAATGCATTGATTAATTTTAGTCGCTTAATTGCATTGTGCATTGTATGCGTACGGACAATAGGGTTTTCACATTAGCCGCGGCTCTTATTAATGCAAATTACCTCTGGTGTAACGTGACAGCGGTCTCTGATTCTGTCCTGGGGGGGGTGGGGGGAGCAAAATGAAACACAATTTGAGCTTTTTTTACGTCTGGTTGGGTGGCCCTGTTGGGTGGCCGAACGGCCACACGCAAAAATTAAATAAAACCCCCGGCATTCTCAAAATTATTTTGTAAAAAATTCAGTGGCGAATTTCTGCAACCGTAGCCGCTGTTTCCTTTCAGATTTACTCATATGTGCAATATACCTCCGATTAGCTCGGTTGGCAACGCACGGTGCGAAAGAAGTTCAACATACATACACGTGAGAGCATGCGTTCGAGAACCCTGTGCGGGTGCGTATAATTATGTGCTACGAACCCGGTGACCCGAGTTCGATTCCTGCTCACGGCCTAGACCAGTGACGATTATCTGAACCGGTCCTTGGCCACTAGGGGAAGACAAAGGCGGCCGCGCGTGGTGTTGGCCACCCACCCCCTCGTGTGCCATGCCGGCCTTCATAGACGCTCGCTAACAGCACCTGCCCCAACACTCTGTTAAGGCTATACGGGCGGGGGATCTTTGTCTTTGTTATGCTGCGCGTGTGAGCGCAAACAGTTTTGTTGCGGCTCGGGGCACTTTGGCTTCCTAACAACAAAACGCCTCTCTCGCCATTCGGGCGCCGTCACTCGCGTGGTACTGGCTTGCGGAGCGGGAACCATCAACATCGCGGGGACCACGAAGTGACGACCCCCCCTGGGATCGGAATTCTGCCGCGCGCCAAACGGGCAACGGTGCATGTAGCCCCCGAATCCGTAGGCCACTCTCGTTCCCTGCGTCTGCTGCCTCGGCTTCGTGTGCAACGCTTGGGACGGCTGATTTAGCGATGTGCGGACGACGTCGGTGATTGCCTCTCGGACGGGAGGGAAGGGGGGCTTGCTCCGTTCGCTGTCACATAGGTGGTGCCACCTTTTGTTCCGTGCCAACTTAGGGTGCGCTTGTATGTGGTCGTGCGTGGACATCACGTGTGCTCTCGGCATGTATACACGCGTAGCCTCGTTTGTCAGTTCATCTTTAGATTCTGGCTTCCCTGTACCCTGCGAGGGTCGTGGGGAGGGGTTAATTGGTCATTCTTCATCACGCTGGCCAGTGTGGGCTGGCAGGGATCATAGACTAGTGTAGTATAGTACAACAATTGATTTTCCCCGCACTGCCCCTCTGCTGACAACGTGGCTCCGCGACGGTCTGCAGCGCCTGTTTCATGCAGGGTGCTCGCAAGCCTCGCAGAGACCAAGCTCCAACCTACTTAGCTTCTGAGATCTTGACGAGATCGAGAGCATTGCGGTGAGTTGGTCAAAGGAAGTGTGGGTATAGCCAGTGACATTCATGTAACAGGAATTGAGGCACCCGAAGAGTCTGAGGATTACATTTTACAAGCTATGAACGCAAAGGCGGAATTCTGGCCAAGCCAGTTAATTTATTGATATACAGTTTGACATGTGCGCAACTCGTAATTTTAATCCCAGATATCCCTTGAAAAAAAAACACTCAATTGTCTCATGAATAAAGGTAATCTTATCCTGAATGCGCCAGATCTTGTCAGATATCGGAAGCTCAGCAGGATTTTGAGACTGGATAGTGACTGGATGGGCGAGCAACACCATGCGTAAACAGGTTACTATGGGCCGCGAGGCTACGTGCTCTGCATCCGACGACAGTGCAGAAACAGACGTACATTGTTGTGCCGTGCTATGTCCCGACGTCGATGCACCCCAGGATTCTACATTCGTGGTAGAAGTATCGTTGAATAGCCCCCATGAGCCTCTCAGCGTGGGGTGGCCCTCATCCAAGAGTGGATCGACATAAGGGCAGTTTCTCTATATGTCCGTGTGAATCTATAGATTGCATCGAAGGGCTATGCGCATATTCGACCTCGGTTAAGGCTTGAAGTCGCATCACAGAACCAAATGCCCTCCTCTATCACAGGGCTGGGCAGGGGAATATGGCAGGGTGCCCTCTGCTGAGGATATTCTGCCACTTGTCCTCACTGGCATTGTCTCTCCATCGGATGTTGTAATTATCATCATAAGCCATGGGCAATCCACTGCTGGATGAAAGCCGCCACCACCACTCGCGATCCAGCGATGTAATAACCCACCAATAACAAGCACGAGGATTTATTTCATCGCTCCATCTCATGTGTGGCGTTCCGGGAACGGAAATCATTTTGGAACGTAGTCATAACAGGGCCAACGTCCCATAAAATGTTTGTAAACCCGGCACACCTCAGCAGCCATACACAACATTGTGCCTGTGGGCACTAGTTACGATGCCACCTACTCCATCCAATCTGGCAACGACCCAGGACGTGTTCAGTGAAAATGTAAGCCATGAGCAGTGGCTATAGTCGCGGCTCGCGCAAGGTACTGAATTGGACAGAGACACAACCCCCGCTTAGGTCCCGAGATGGGGATGAGAAGAGGCTTGAGAGAGGCGAGGGTCAGGGCGAGGATTACGTCCGTGTAAGGTGGAAAGCCCTCGTGGCGCTTATAACAGTAAGCCCCGATGGCGGAATAAGAGCTGGGACCCTCCCTGGGGAATTAAAAGGCACGCGGCTCAGTAATATTTCACTTCCGTGGACACATTGATCAAGATTGAGGCGCGGAGTTCGTGCGCGTATGCATGTGATGATTGATTGCGCCTTTTACAAGTGCGGTCTATCTCGTGCTGATGTGGTTAGCATATTGCTCTATCTATTCGCCCGGTTCTCTATGCAGCGATACACAGTTGTGGCGCTGACACATTCGGTGCCCGTATACATATATTTCTCTCCCCACTTCTCCCCCTCCCCTCCACCCTTCAATTCGTATAGACTCCCCGTGGAAGAGATATGGAGATCGGGATTTGGCGAGATGTGAGAAATGTGGCATGAAGAAGATACATGCATCAATGAGATGTAGGGAAGAGTGATACAGATGAGACAAAAATAACAGTGAATCAAAAGATGAAAACTAGAGACAGAGATGTGTTAAGATGAGGCGATATTTGCAAACAAGATAGAGAAAGATGAAGATAAAAAAATTATTCATGTTTATTGAGATCTGAATTCGAGCTACTATTTAGTGCATCCGTATTGCTTCATTAGTCTGGGGACCCACGCGTCGTTTGGGTCCCTTGGGATGTTGCTTATGCGTCGTGCCACCCCTGGCGTGAGATTCCCGCAGCGTGGGATCTCGCCTGCATGTAAGTAAAGGATTTAATTTATTAGAGTAGATCTTTGCCATGTGTTTAACTGATTGCAAACACGTATGTGGGATATGAATATGGGCGGTTGCCTGAAATTTCCCTCGATGTGAATTTTTTTTTTTATTTTAAGGTCACAGTGTTATTGGCGAATGTGTTGAGTTTATTATTATGATGTGTGCTTGTGCGTCACCGCCAACGCATTGTCACCAAGTAAGTTGTATACGTGTGGGGTTCTGTGACGAGTTGCTCATCGAGGATCGAGGTTTGATTCCAGGCCTCGGCATTGAGGAGGTCTTCTAGCATCCACGTGACATCCTGTGCATCACGATCAGGGTTGTGATGCACATCGTGCCCTCAATAGGTGCTCGTCAATAGCACTCACCTCAACAATATGTCCCGGCCTGGGCCATTCTTTTTATTTCATAACGACAATGTCTCTAGCGCTGTAACATGGCAAGCCATTGCAATGGCTCTGAGAATCCGTGTGTTAATAGGTGCTCGCTAACAGCACTTGCCCCGATGGTACATTAAAGACTGCACGGAGCAGCTTTGCCCTTGATTTTGCCGCACACAATTGGCGGAGCGCAGCAGTGAGTTCTTAGCTCGCTGCTGCCCACCACACCGTGGACGTTTCGTCTCCAAAACATTGGAATGTTCGCGCAAGTCTCAAGGACAAACATTTTTGGTGCCAAGGTCGCTGCGGGGCCACTGTGGTGGTTTTTTTTTTCACTGGCGGTGGTTAAACAGCTGGGCCAATTGTGGACTACGCACAGGGACGGGGCAGTTTCAAGAAGAGCTTGTGGAGTGCTCAGAAAATAATGTTCTCGGCAACTTGAGACAATGGAAGTCGAGAACGCACTGCAGAAGAAGAAGGTCCATGTAGTTCGGCTGCTATGTCCTACTGCTGAAATGAGATCACAGCTGCGATAGCCATGATGCCCAGATGCACAGACACGTATTCTATTTTGTCAAACTTTATGTGTATGCATCAGCAGGGTTACCATATTCTCCGGTTTATAAGACTTACTTTTGTGGATTAAAGCAAAAGTTGGAGGTGCGTCTCATAATGCAGTAGACGTGTGGGTGTGCGCGAAACCAGATTTGTATACTGTCGTGTCAGAGACCAGATTTGTATACTGTAGTGCCAGAGACCAGATTTGTATACTGTAGTGTCAGAGACCAGATTTGTATATTGTAGTGTCAGAGACCAAGTTTGTGTGGGGGAAGCAGTAGTGTAGCGGTTAGCACACTGCGCTACGAACCCGGCGACCCGAGTTCTATTCCCGCTCACGGCCAACACCAGTGACGATTATCTGAACCGGTCCTGGGCCTCCCCTAGGTCGACTCAACCTTAAATGAGTACCTGGGGCGATATGTAAACATCGCCACGAGGGAAACAAATGCGGACGGGCGTGGTGATGGTCAAACCACCCCCTGGCGTGCCGTTCTAGCATTCATCGGTGCTCGCTAACAGCACTTGCCGAAACAGTCTGTTAAGGTTTCGATTTAAAGCTTTCGTGAATGCAGGGATTCATCTTCTTGGTTCTTTCGGTAAAGTCACGTAGAAGGGAAATAATAATTGTATTATGTTTTATATTTATTATTT